GAGAGACATGTTAAAATATCTGGCCATATTTTATTGGCACACTGAGACCAAATATCAAAGATGCAAAAACACAGCATAGGCCACAAAAAGAAAATTGCTGATAAACAACTGTGAGTTTCATGCAACAGAAAGAGTTAAAAGTAAAAGTATCACAGGTCCATGGTAAACAGTTACTGGTTTCAGAATCTATGCTGTTCCATTGGTAGTGTTAGTCAAATAGGAATAAACATATACACTTCATTACTACAAGAATTTAAAAAAAAAAAAAAAAAAAAACTATCACACCACGAGTAAACACAAAGTGTTCTATGATGTTTTAAAACAGATATTACAAGCTGCTATTTAGCATGGTCAGTACAATGCCAAAAAATATGAAAAAACAAGTAAAGAATTATATCTTAAAAAGGAAAAGTTAACAAATATGAAAAGCAAGCAAAGAATTTATCATAAAAATAGGATGTTCATTAACAATACTGACATATTTTTTGAAAACTGGAAAGTACTTAAATATTAAAAAGCAGTGGCGCGGTGATTTATGTCACAGGCGTGAGGGGAAGTTAAGTCCAACATGATGTGTATAAGGAGATACTCCGTACGTCACTCGGGCGCCAGTCCTTTACTATCCTGGTTGTACGGAACCTCACGCAAGACCCCTACAGCATGTCCTCGTCGTGCGCCACGGATAATGTCTCAAATGAGCATTAACAGAGCTGTCAGGGGATCTCGGAGTTCTGCGGCCCCCAGAGGTGATGTGTCCTTGTGGCTCTCATCAGCCCGCCCCCAAACGCTTGGGTGAAAAATGTTACCAAAACTCATTAGGAACATGAGTAGGTCTGCCAAATGTACAGCCAAAATTACAACCCTTGGTTAAAAGACTGCGGAGTAAAGAGAACATTGTTCACTGCACATCCTCTGTTAACCCTCAGTGTCGTCGTCACCGCGCTGAGGTACACCACAACAGCAACCATCCATAGGCTGGCCATCCTTGTACATCCTCGGTTAACCCTCAGTGTCGTCGTCACCGCGCTGAGGTACACCACAACAGCAACCATCCATAGGCTGACCATTCATGTACATCCTCGGTTAACCCTCAGTGTCGTCGTCACCGCGCTGAGGTACACCACAACAGCAACCAACCATCGGATGGCTAAGCCTAATTGTCTGACAAAACTAGATCATACGGATCAAAATCTGACCATCAAAATTTGTATTGAACTGAAAAAGACCGAATGTCCACACCCAAAGACCCCACTTGCCCGAGTGTTGGGACAAAACTGATAACGATATGCCTGATGCAGGATGTAAAATTCTGTCGGGCTAACGGCTCGTCAAAGAAATCTAACGTGCGAGGAAAAAAGAATGTACCTATCTGTGTGGTCACAAAAGTCCAAAACCCACGGGCTGCTACCCACTGACTTCCAGAGGGCGCAGCACCTGTCGAGCGGGAGGCCTGATACGGTTGTGAGGTTAAGCAGGCATGTGCAGGACGTGACGATTCCTTGGGTGAGCCCAGAACCAGAGCGCCATGTGCCGGCTCTGCATGCATGGAAGCCTCCTTGGATGGCGGGGAATGCCCATGATCTGCCCCTGCCTTCCCTTGAGGGCTAACTGTTCCACAGGGGGCTGCCCCAAAGGGGTACTCCGAGGGCAATACCTGCGGCGAAGAGGACAAAGTGGACACCACACAAATCAGGCAACGTCACGACCCACACAAAACAATGGCCACAGTCAACCTAGAAATAGGCCTGACGTCTTCCTTCGAAGTCGGAGTACAGCTGCCCATGAGGCAGGGAAATGAAAAACGGTTGTACACGCAAAAATCAGGTCCAGGTGAAAGCCAAAAGTCCAAGCGGACGATTAACCGGGACCTTCCACTGGAATTCACAGCCAGTGATCGATAAAAAAAAATAAAAAAATAAAAAAAAATAAAAATCAAAAAGCAGAAAATATTCAATATTTTCAAAACATCAAAAGCTACCTCTAACCTGTAACCATGCTTGTCAAGCACTTTTTTTTCAATCTTGAATGTTAAATTAAGAATCAACATCACAACACTTCGGACACCCCCATAAGCGTTCCATCCCCATCTTCAGCAGCTAGTTAAGAGTTCCAATTCCGATGGCACCAGTAACTGTCTGATTGTAAATCCATCTCACCTTTCACCTGAGTGTTGTGCACCGGCCGGATCCTCTTGTAATTCCTCGCAGCGTCATTCTCCCCAGACCGTAATGATCTGTCTGTGCATCCACACTGTTCAATTGCTCCCAAAGAGCCCTCACAACATCTAGCTTATCATACATCAATTCACCACCCAGCGGGACAGAACCGGCCAATCTATCTGCCTGCTCATGTCCCTGGACCTCTGAAGTGATGCGTGCCACTTTGCACACAGCATGCCTTTTATCAGAGCCAACACAAAGTATTTAAATATGACAAGTATGTGAAGATCATTATCTTTTTTTTAAAACTGACTTGTCCTCACATATTCTTAAAAAGTAAAATATTCCAAAATTTTTTCAGGACCAAACAATACATTATGCATTTGTTGTTTTCAGTTGAAATAATATGCAGTGGTACCTCAGTGTACGTCCACTTTCGTGTACACCCACCATGGTGTTTGTCCACTTTGGTATATGTCCAACTTGGTATATGTCCTGTTTGGACATGAACAATTTAGCTTGGTATATGACCTTTATTTGCAATATGACTCACACGCTAGAATGTGTTTGAGTCTCGACACCACACGCTGCCCTCTCATTAGTCAAGGAAATGTTTGCCAAAACTCGACATGAAATGTCAAAAACTCTGCAGAGAAGTACCACCCTAAAAAAGCACTAACAAGCTGTAACAGCACTGTCTAGAATGACCAGTCAATTTCATATTTTCAAAACATCCTGAGGAAAGGGCAGACACAAAGTCTTTGGAACAGTTTTTTTAGTATAAGTCAAATAAAAGTGAGCCTCAATCGGGTCAAAGTAAGGAAAAGAGACAGAAAAAGAAGGAAAAACCGACAAGAATTTCAGATTCTTCTTTCATTAGAAAGGGACGGACTCTCTTTCCAAACAATAACATCTTCTCCTGCTCCCTTCTCAACATGATCCTAACAGGCATTCAACTCTTCCCACCAAGGTAAGGTGAGGTTACATTTCCACTTATTTCATCTGCTTTTGTACTTATGTATTTTAGTTTTAAGCAGTGTTTACACAACCCCTCCAATGTATAACAATCAGATTTTTGTCATGGGAAAGGATTAATCATTCTCTTGTTATTTCTGTTTAGTGTACATCCTATTATCAAAGATGTGGAACGGATTTAAGGATGTATATCAAGGTATAACTGTACTGTAGATAGTGTTAAAATAGCCTCCCATCGTCATGATTGTTTGCTGGGCACTATTACAATTCATCCTGCACAGTACATTTCTCTCCTGTATATTTACTCATTTATGTGGAGGATAGAGGGCAATGAGGTGAGTGGAGCAGCTATCAGGGAAGCCAGATTTCTGTTTGTGGTTTGGCCAAATGCAAAACATTAAGAGAACACATTAAGCAATGGTTGGGATACTTTTTAAGGCTGGATTGGCATGGAGCAAGGTTATTTTTGAACAAACTCTGTCTCAGTGGTGACTTACATTTATGACCTCATGGTCAGTAAGCAAGTATGCTAGAACAGCTCACAGATTAGAACACATAAACAGGTGAACATACATATATACATTCAACGAAATACTGTAAGGTAATATATACTGCCACGAGAAGAATAAAAATACCATATTTATTGTAAACAATTATTTTTATGATGTGTGTGGAAAACAAAGGATGATGGAAAAAGCATGGAATTAATGGTGTTTATGAATGTGTTTCATCATCATGAAGCTGGTCCTTTCCTGAAAGTCTCATCACAAGAGTCCTTCAATACATGTGTTTACCATCATTCTTGTCAACCGGACACATCAGGCATATGGAGCTAGACCCGTTTCTACAAAACAAAGTCCTTGACGGTTGATGTGGTCAACATCATGTCTGCCTCTTTAACTTCCCAGAATATTTCCTGGTAGCCATTTTGGGTCATCCTGGTAGCTCAGGTCAGTCATAAAACTCACACGACCTTTGGACCAGCACCTGCACTACTATGGTGCTAACTGATTGCAGTTAACATGTCGCCCAGAGAGGGCTTTAACACACATACACACACAAAAATGAGTAATGACCCCCAAGGGAATTACTGAAAAAAATCCTGTAAAAAAATTTTTTTTTAAATGTTACACAATAAATTTTTTATAAATTTATTTATCTTCAAAAAATTTAAATATCTTAACAAATGTATCAGCTGACTCATGGTGTGAACACTGCAACCTCTAACACTGAGGCTCGCAGGAAAGTTTAATGTCAACATGGCTTCTGAGAAAGAAAAAGAAAAGCTGTTTGGTTCACAAGGAACTCCCCCTGCCCCCCTCTCGTCTTTGTTTTTAAATTTCTTCATAATGCAAGCCTATTAAATGCTGTGCAGGCAGAATGGAACCATCACATAAAACTTTTAGGGGAGGAAAAAAAGAAGACACCAAGAAAAGGCCTGGATCTAGACATTTATGGGGAGCAGAGAAGGAACCAAAAGTGCTGAGTTTGTGTCTTCTCAAAGCAAAAGGGTTAAATGCTGAAATGTAATGTTTATATATGTGTGACAAGTTGAAAAGAAGCTTTCATTCAAAGAAACAGGGTCTGGAGTAACACGTAATTATTAAAAAGGAAAATTTCTTGGAATTAAAATGCTGAGAAATTAAAATAATAGATACAATGTTTGAAACATCACATCTCACAACACTGCAAAATAGGAAAGGATTTGAAAAAAGCTGCTTTCACAACAATATAACAGTGATCATGTTGCGAAGAAAAGTGATTAAAAACAAAACAAATCACAGTTAACACAGTGGAGATCTGAAATAATGTACGACGACAAAAATAAGCTGCTGGAATAACAAATTCGATGCCAACTGTTGCTTGTTATGACTGTAAGACTTTCTTGTTTGTAGCTTCATTCGTTAATGTTTCATATTCTCGAAGGTCATCCATGCTCATTTCTGAGGAAACACACAGATGTATATATTATATTACAATACAATTAAAGTTAGTTGTTACCAAGGGCAGCCGTAAAGAAAGAACCATCTCTTTGTGAATACAGAGTTCAAAGCGCAGATGAGAAATCGTGGATGCTTCGAGAAATCTTAGCATTTTGCCATTGGCTGAGGTATGAAGGATTTAATAATGGAATGTGCTCAGTGACTTGCTTCTCCAGGCGTCGATCAGTTCTGCTCACATAAGCAGCTTCACAGATACATTTAAATTGGTAGATAAACGTACATTGACTTTGGTTGTTTTTGAGCCACTGCGGCTCCCAAATTAACATATAAAAGGGGTTATTATGTTCCTCTAGAAGAGACTCAACATGTGAAAGTCAAAGGACTTTGTTTGATGACAACACTCAGATTATACAAGAGAAACCGTTTAGGAATACTATCATACATCACTGAGTGTTGAGAAAGGATAGCAGGAATCACACATAAACTAGACTCTATTTTTTTTAATGGCTAAGGAGAATTCTGCAAACGTTTTGGCCAGACGAGGTCGCAAATGAAGAACTGAGAAAGAAAACACTGACAAATGTTATCAAAGGAAGGTGATGAAAATGCAGAATGTCCCGTGACACTTGGGCAAGTCAGCTCTCTGATGGATGGCAGATGGAAAAAGGAGATGTGGACAACCTAAGGAAAACTGGAAAAGGACAGCAGAAAGGGAAATGAAGGAATGTAAAATTCATAGGCAGAAAAGCAGCAGCAGAGTGACAAACATGGAGATCACTTGTGGAACCTTGTGGGTCAAGAGCGAAATGAAGAAATATTGAGATAGATATAGAACAGGCTCATAATCAAGCCTTACTGACTGGCATAGATGATTATGCTTCTCTGTATCTGGTAATCTCCTACAGGTGTTATCAGCTTGTGTGTTGACTCTGACCTCAGACATAACAAATGATTGTCAAGAATATTCTCTATCTTTTAATACAGTGGTTTCCCCCCAATTTTGTTTTTGGGTGATGCCTTTTTGAATATACAGAAAAGCCTAACACACCCCACCCCCCAAACTAAGAAAAATGTGATTAAAAAGAGGAAGTAAATATACAAACTGCTTATGAAAGCAAAACAAAATGGGTTTTTGTGTTTGTTTTAGTATTTCATTTATAGTTAACTTTTACATTCCTTCATTTCCCTTGCACAACAGATTATTACAAGTATAAGTGCACTCAATCTCAACCCCCCCCCCTCCCTTTTGAAGCTTTCTTGAGTCCGTCAGATAGGTTGAAAACCACTATTTTAATAAATAGTTCACATGTTCTAGTTTTTCTCTTCTCATAATGTTGACAATAAAATTATGCCTGCCTCTGTCTGATATTTGTGGTAAACTATCTCCTTGTCTTAGAATCTTTCAAAACATTCACATTACTCATGACCGTGTAAGGAATATTTCAAGTCTTCTGTACAATCAGATCCCTGAGGCTTCTAGGTAATTTTTGCTTGTTTGTTTAATAATTATCAAGACCCACAATCAACAATGTATTCAAATTAGCGGCATGTAGCAAAAGAAGAGGACAGAAAACAAAAATAACTGAAATATATCACTTACCAATCCACTCATCAATCCATGCAAATGCTTGTCTGTGACCAAGGAGTAAGATATCTCGAACAGACTAGGGAAGCAGAATGTAAAAATACACATTTCAAACAAACATATCTCTGTGTGGGTTCAGGGGCCCGATTATATAGGGAAAAAAGAATAGACCCACTGCCTACCCAAAAGCATGTCGTAAGAGTCGACTAATTGGGAGCTTCTTTCGAAGTCGGCGTGCATATGCTTGAGAGGCAAGGAACCAGCAGTCCGCATACAAATGAGTCAGATCTGTAAAATGGATGCACACTCAACACTCAGGTTCTGGAACAGGACTGCAGTCCAAAAGTGGATGAACAACCAGAACTTTACAGCTGGTGAACGCGAAGAAAAAGAAGAAACAAGCATATTTTCAGTGGTTTACAATGCGAACCCTGATATATAAATTTTGTGAAATTAAAACGTGGTGTTTGCTTTCTCTTATTTTTGTTTCTGTTAACTTCCTTGTGTTTCTAACCTATTTGTTAACCTTGTGCCTATTTGTTTACCTTGTGTTTCTCATGCCTGGCTCCCATGAGTCATCCTATTCCATTTCAAATCCACAGACTAACTCATCAATATCCAGCACCGATGGGATGTTCTTCAAACCAGACAGACTCTAGACTTGATCCTTCCTCATAAAACTGTTACTAGAGATATGCCTTGGAAGGAAATCTGTCCCATCTGGTAATGCCACAGCCTAGAGCAGTGTTCTTCAACCCGGACAGGCTTTAGGGTCGATCCTGTCTCAAAAAACTGTTACTAGAGATTTGCCTTAGAAGGAAATCTGTTTGTTCCATCTTGTAATGCCACAGCCACAGAAGTATCTTGGTAGTGAACCAAAACTTTCAGCCAAATAATGTTCTTTTGACTTCCTTATTTGTGTCAAACTGTCTAGGAAAAGATGGGGATGGAGGGTGCAGTTTGTGGAAGGCGAGGCAGGGGTCGACCACCGCGAAGATGGATACAGGATATTGAAGATGCATTGGCATTGAAAGCACATGAAGCTGGAGAGCTGGCTAGGGAAAGGGGTACTTTCAGGTGTGCCGTGAAGACAGCGATGCTCTGTAAAGGACTTGCTGATTGATGATGATGATGATTTGTGTCAAAAAGATTTTCTCAACAAAATCAGTAAGAAAATCCAAACAGAGAAATCGACTTGATGCTACTGCAGCAGTTCATCTATCAGAAACAAGATTCCAGCCATGTATATCAAACATTCCAACCTCTAAACAGCAGCAGATGTCTTATTACCTGAAAATTGTCATTTTCATGACATCAGATTTAACCAAAAATAGCTATCTACATTTATTTTTTGCTTCTATTTTTTGTTAGCTGCCAGGTTGTTTGTCAAATTTCCCCTGCTTTGCCAGTCTGTGGGTGTAAAAAGGTTGAAAAACAGTATCAGAATATTTCACTTCCCACTCCTTTGTTAATTAAATCTGCCACTGAATTACCCAGATCTTCTGTCAGTCTGCCACATGCTGTTGGATATACTGAGGATGAGATCTAAGCATCTGTGGGCTTGTTCCATGTGCAATGAGGATAAACTACCCTGATCTCTTACCAGACAACAAAGTCCTCATCCTAAGATACATAGAGAAAAAAGGAAAAGAAAGACAGAAAGGGAAAATAACATAGTAAACGGACAGAAGGAAAAGGGGGAGGGGAGAAGGAAGAAGGAAGGCAAGAAAGAAACAAAGAATGAAAGAAGAGTAAGACAGATATATTTAATGTATGAATGCATCTATCATTCTGTAATCTTACTCTCTGAGCAAAGGACTCCACTCTGCCTTGAAGTCCAAGAACTTCAAATTTCACTTTGACAACTTTATACGAACACATCAATGGAACTGTTACCTCCTGGTGGACAAAACAGAGAACATTTTACATTATCATATTATCATCATCAATTTCAACTTCTGCCGTTAAGCATCGTGGGAACGAACAGTTTGCAATTTCTTGCTTGATGGGCAGCAATGGCTATTGTCATTCGATGTAGAAGCTCTTTAATGTCATCAGTCCATCTTCTCCTAGGGTGACCTTTTGCTTTCACTTCAGATCTTTTCATGTGTAGCACCTGCATTGGTAGTTGTTCTGGCTGCATTTTTACTAGATGACCAAACCATCTTATCTTCTGTTTCTCAGCTTTGGGAAGTGTGATATATGGTCGTGATGTTATCTAGCAATTGTTCTTGTTTTCCATACTCCTCAATAGTAGCCCATAGTTTGTTTCAATAAATTATCAGGATTTGCAATAGATTCCTCACCGCTAATCTCAGCTTTTAGTATTCTTGATCTGTGACCAATTTAATCCTTTCATCCCAAAAAGCCACAAAATTGACACTTCATGTTGAAAACTATTCCCTGTAAATGTCACTTTTCTTAACCTGTCTATAGTGACCTGTTTACAAGTTGCATAGTTAATGCTACCGGCTCTTTTCGCATCTGCACAAATGTTTAGAAGGTCAAGATATGAATACATTAACTGAAAATAGCATTTATGGGGTTTTCCTTTAAACCAAATGGTTTTATTCAAGCCAAGTTGACGTCACATTTTTCTGTAAACCTCAGTGGTAGAGGTCATGGCAGGAGTCACTTGAAAAATGTTTTTAAGGTCTCAGGGAACATATTCCATATAATGCTTCCCCAGTTAGTGTTTACTGATTACTCTCTGTATATATCTTTAAAAAATTGGGGATGGGGGGATTTTAAAAATGCAGTGAAAAAATCCTTTTCAATTGATCAGTTACGGGTGTAAAAAAAATAATCTATTTTTTTTTTTAAAAAGAATTTTTCTAGAATTTCAACAAGGTTTTGACCCAGTTTCTTTTTTCTTTTAGTGTTCCCAGAGTGAGAATGTTATGAATTAACATCATAAAGCCCCTGGCACAACCATGCACACTCCAAGTTCCAGTATCTTCATTTTTTTCTGTGAATCGCACTTAAAGGACAGTTGACATGGTGTGCTGTTGCATCTTCTGGCCCAACACATTGAATTTAAGTTAAATCCCTAATTAGTCATCCTTAAGATATGCAGCTCTCCAACCGAGCCCTGGAAGTGTTCCGTGCAATCTGATGTTTCACAATGTTAAACCATTAGTGAACAAGCTATACATGGTAAAAGGATATCAATTATTGACAAGTAGCTAGGACAATCAGTTGTAGTAAATGTGTGGCTGAGGAGAGGCACGTTGAAGGCTGAAAGACCAGAAGCTGTTCTTGCTAAATATATATATATATATTTGACTGTCTCAGCATGTGGGAGAACTTAGCGCTCTGTGCTCCGGATGAGAGGTAAAGTTTTCCAATTACCTGATTCAGCTGTGTGCGAACGTGTGCTCCTGATAAAAGATAAGGGTTTCAACTATTTTGAAATTATTGCTCAGGTGTCTTGATATATAAATGAGGGTGGTCATTTTTCATGGCAAGGAATCTTGTATTTAACTGGGACTTCTATTGGTAGCTGACTGCACTACCGTGGAATAAATGCAGTGTAATGGATGAAAGCATTTAATTTATTTACTGCATCAGTCATGCCCAAGTGAGGGGTCACCATCCATAAAAGTTATTGCGTTCCTATCCACAATGTTTTGTCAACTGCTGCATGTTCAACAGATTTTACGCATTGATCACTTATACCCCAGAGTACTAAAGTGAATCTTATCAGCATTATTTTTTGGCCAACACTATGTTATCAGTGCCAAACGTGGACATCTAAATCCTCAGATGAACTTAAAATTGTGACAACAGAGATGAAATGCCTTAGAAGAGCTGCAAGAGTTTCAAGAAAAGACAGTATACAAAATCACGAAATCAGATGAATGCTAGGAATAAAGCCAGTCTTACAAGTCATCAAAGAACAAATGAAGTGGCTTGGACATCTAACAAGACTGCCCTGGTACTATCTGCCACAGCGAGCCACACTAAAATGTTACAATGAGAAGCTAGTGGAAGACCTCGGAAAAGATGAAGTGATGGCATAAAGAACAGCCTTACAGAAATGAACATGTCTTAATAGTGCTCTTGACAGAACTCATCAACGAACGTTACATCCCTCCCCCCTTCCTGCCGGAACACTTCCATGAGGTTCAAAGTGGAAGAGAAGAAGAAGATCACTTATGCCTTTCACTGTTCTAGCAGGTGAATTTGACCTTATTGTTGCTACAGTGGGTCAGCACCTCACCGCTACTTACGAACCTATCTGGCCATCTGGAACCCTTGTGGGGACTTTCAACAGCACATTTGTGATACAAACATAGTACTCATCCTCTTTTTTGTTCTTTCTTGCCAGATCAACTCTAACATAAAATTCACCCAACCTTTCATCTAACATATCTCTCACCAGTATTCATTCATATATAGTATTCAGAATTTCTGCTACATCCATTATGAGTGTTCCTATTACTGCAGCTTTTCTAGCTACACAAAAATACAGATCATTCACTGCCTTGTACTCCTGCATCTCCAACTATGTGGCAGAGACTGCCACCCCAACACTGGACTTCACAGTCATAGAAGACATTTTTCCCAAAACAGTGGCACAACTCCATGATCCCCAGGTAAATGACAGTTTTAGATCAAATCCAAAGATATTCATTTAAGCCACAATCTCCAAGATCACTTCGCGCAGTCTGAGGTTTGACATCACCTGCACTAACAATATAAATCCAAACTGTCAACTTTCATTGATAAAACAGCACTTGACTGCCTAACTGACTAAAAGATTAAAACTGTTTCACCACAATGAGAAATATATGTTAATTATCAAATGTCCTGTGTAGGTATCTGGGTCCCATTCTGGGAAAGGTGGGGAATAGTGGAGGTGGTGGTGGGGGGGGGGGGGGGTATACCCACTGCCACCCTCACAAGCATGTCGCACAAGGCGGCTAATTAGGGGAGTTTCCATGCAAATTAGAGTGCATCTTCCTGAGAGGCAAGGCACCAACAGTCTTCATACAAATAAGCCAGACCTGTCAAAATTGAAGTGTGCGCAAAACTCACATTCTGAAACAATAGCAAGGTCCAGATATGGATGAACACCAGAACTTTCCGCTGGAGTTAACAGCTGGTGAACGCTAAAAAGAAGAAGGAGAGTTATCAAATAACGTTACTGCACTTTACATATGGATGCAAAATTTGAGTACAATTAACTGAAGAAAAACTACTGCATTTAAAAGGAAATAAAGGTATGTCTACAACCCAAGCATTACCTTCCAATTCTTTTCTAAAGGACCCCGGTCTGTCTTCTTAGATTTGAAGACTGTCAAATCCTGTTGCAATATAACATGATTCTGTATTAGAGTTTAAAATCAGAAAACAAACAAAAACTTATTATATGAGAAGCAAAAAGACCAAACTGTTACCACCTTTATGTAAGAAGTTTAAAAAAAATTTAAAAAATTATACCCCCCCCCCCCCACCATCCCATGGTATACACAAGTAAATGAAACATACACATTCACACATGTAATATATGCACAAATAATCATAAAAGTTCTGGAACTTATTATTACTTGCTCGTGGTATAATCAAAACATATGCATACTACAGTAAATTTGAAAACTTAATTGATGTAGCTTTAACAAAATAATTATTAATTTTGAAGGAAATATAGTTTTCTTATACTTCACATAGGAGCCGCCATGATGTAGCAGCTAGACGCTTGCCTGTGATTCAAAGGTCGCGCGTTAAAATTTTTTAAACATCACCCTGACTCCCAGTATGATCCAGCCTTAAATGGGTAGCGTGCAAAAACCTGGGAAGTAAAGGCGGCCCTTATGATGTTGACCACATCACTCCCTGAGGGCTGATTGGTCAATAAAAATAAGCGCCTAGCCTCATATGCCCGATGCCCCACTGGCATGTAGAGGGACCTTAATTAGCAATGCAATGCCTGAAGAGAATGAGGCACCTGGGTGTCACCAGAGGGTCTGGCCAGCTCACTACACTCAGAGGAAAGGCAAGACGGACATATAACCACATTGTGACCGGTACCATCAGTACTGGAACTCTGCACTGGCTGCTGAAGATGAGGACGGAGCACACATGGGAATGCCATGAGTGCTGTGATGTCAATTTTTGACTCAACTCAACTATTAGCAATGCAAATGTCTGAAGAGACAAAAATAAAAATCTAACAGTGACAGTTCTATGGAACAGTGTAGCCATATGCAGCTACTCCAGTAAAAACCATTGTCCAGTCAACACACCTCTCAGTGGAAGATACATTCAGACAATAAAAAGAGACCTGACTCAAGCTACTGACTATAAAAAGAAGAGAAAACAGCCATTGTTTTGCCTAAAGAGCAGTCACAACTTGGCTGCCTACACCCTCTCAAAACCTTACATCATCATCATTTGTCAGCAGGTCCTTTACAGAACATCACTCTTGTCATGGCACCCATGAAAGTCTGTCTTTTTCGAGCCAATTCTCCAGCCCTATGTGCTTTCATAGCCAATGTATCTTAAATATCTGATATCCACTGGCATGCCTAAAAGTCTTTCTTTATCTAGCCAATTCTCCAGCTTTATGTGCTTTCATAGCCAATGTATCTTAAATATCTTTATATCCACTGGCACGCCTGAAAGTCTTTCTTTATCTAGCCAATTCTCTAGCCCTATGTGCTTTCATAGCCAATGTATCTTCAATAACTTGGATCCACCTCTGAGGAGGTATGCTTCTGCATTATTTTCCATAAATTGTACCCTCCATCATCATGTTTTTTAGGTCATGACGTTTAACATGACCAAAATAACTTAGCTTTCAGGACATGATGCTAAACCCTTAACACAGACAAATAATCACCAAGGGAACTGCAATTTACAATCCTGAACACATCCTTAACTCTTTGAGTCCCAAGGAGCACATCATAAGTTCATAGGTTCTGGCCTAGAGGCCAAATGAACGCAAGATGCGCCGATTTTACATCTCTTTTGACTAGCCCTTGGGCCTCTGATGCTAAACCCCCAGGGACTCAAAGAGTTAAGGAGCGTTCAACTAAGAGGCCTATGGTGCCAAATGTGGCTAGAGAGTGCTGATTTGGAGCAAAGATATCTGACCTAATCTTTCTATATGAAAGAGTTATACTGTATTGTGTAACACAGAGGGATGGGAATCACAGTCAATTAACACCAGGGATGAAGTTCCTCCTCTCCATAGCATAAAGTCCTGGCAGTATTGAACAGCATGAACAATAAGGAATGCTAAGGTCAAAACATCACGTCCTTCCAAATAAGGCCTTTTCTTCTCCATTAATATAAATAATTTATGAAAGCAAATCAGGAATAAACGACATCTAAACTGTACAGCCTCAGTCGATTAGCTTCTTAATATTGTTATCCACATAAATATCATAAGTACCAAATTGGGACACAACAACTTTGTTCAAGCAATCCATTTCATTGGAATTTTTCTTAAAGGTCATAACAACCGAGTTTATATAAGTTACAACCAAAACTCACTTCACTTTCTTTATACAGCTTTGGGGGTAATGGATCATAAGCTATGTCAATAAAATCCACTTCTCGTTTTTCCAGCTCCTCTAGACAAAGATTCACAGACTAGGAATTTAAAACAAACAGCCAAAGTTAATTTATGTAATTTTAATTTATTATGAATTTAACTATTTGTTATGTAATTTTTTTTCCATGACAGTCACACCATTCATATTTCAAACACATAAAACTATTCAAACACACCTTCTGACAAAGAACTATTTTAGTAAGTAAAATAATTAAAGAAATGACTACAATACTGTAAATTGGCATTTTCTACTTCTTCTTCTCTTTCTCTTTTACGCTTCAGGTGTCGGGAAGATAAAAGTTTCTTATTCTTGCTCTTCTGGTCGCAATGATTATAGACACATCATGCCAGTGCAGAATTTCTGTGATGTTATCTTTACATATCTTCTTGGTCTACCATGTGATCTATGTCTCTCTCTTCTTTTGCTGTATGCCATGGTACAGTGTTGCAAGACATTTTCTCTTAAGTGGCCAGACTGTTGGATCTTCTGTCCATGTATGTAATTCAGAACTGATTCTGTGCCATATGTTTCTCTCATGACCTCGTTCCTGATTCAATTTTATGGTGACTCCTGCAGCCCTTCTCAGACATCTCATTAACTCTTTAAGGCCCAAGCAATGGTGTGAGCGTTGTTTGAGAAGTTCCGTTTTGCCTAAACAACAGTGTCATCGTCGATCATGTGTCCCGTACATTTTGCTTCGCACATGCCCCCTAACTAGTTTCTAATGTTCGGAGGTACGATTAAACTATTCAGGAAAAGTTACTCTTAATTTAATAGAAATAACAGCAAAAATTTTTCAACAGTTAATTTTCTAAGTTCGTTCTCGAGTGCCATGAATACCAATGTTCCAACCACAAGTACAGGTCGCAGAATGCGTCTTTCTGAGGCCAAAGCTCTGAAATTGTTTCAGTCAGATGTTTTTAATTGTGATAATGATAATACAAATTTATATTTTTCAGAAAGTGATTCAGACAGAGAATTTTCACCAATCATCGCAGCTACAGTCTGTATATAACTGTACAAAGTAAATAGTAAATAGTGTGTGTGTAATGGCTCATTTTTCTGCAATTTTTCCCCTGAAATTTTGCTCAGCACTCTGTGAGAACTAAGAGCCCCTGAGTGCTAAGCTAACCCAGAAATTTATCATAACTTTAAAATATGTTAGTAAATTAAACAAACTTTGAAGTTTTGTTCTCAAATTTGGATATTTACTACTCTTGTGGCTGCAAAACCATGGTAAGTGAAGAATGTTTTTTGTGAAATGTTGTGTCCTTATGAAATAAACACCTGCTGAATTCTTCTTTCCTAATAACTATAACAAAATTTAACAAACACTTATCATCAGATTCAAAATGTACATTCATTTCTCTTTAAAAAAATATATACTTTTATAGGGATTAGAAGTATATTACATTCTCTATAGCCTTTCTTGTACACCCACCCCTCTGCCATTTTTGTAAAGGGAAATTAATGTGGGCCAAGTCTTGTCAAAATTCATGTGCCTGAAAGAGTTAACATGGTTACTAATTTGCTTTCTCAGTTTGTTGTGAATGACCGTGGCTGGCACTGGTAGCATAGAGCAGGAAAGAATATGCTCTGTATGATCTGTCTGTGCTGATCGGGACTGTCTTGTGCTGTAAGAGGGAGGCTAGCTTCCCAATACTTAACCTAGTACCAAACTTTAAATTTTTTAAGAGAAGGGCTGCAGGAGTAACCAGAAGAGATAAAATCAGAAATGAGGTCATAAACAAAAAGCTGGCACAGAACCAATTCTAAATTACATACAACGACAGCAAATCTAATGGTCTGCTCATTTAGAAAGATTGCTTTGCGAAGCCATACCATACACGGCATACACCACAAGAGGATGCAAAGCACCAGGCAGACCAAGAACATAATGGAAAGATAACATCAGAGAAAATATACAACAGCATGATGTGTCTATGATCAAGGCTGCCAAAAAAGCAAGAAGCAGAACCTTATACCTCCCTCGACACCCAAAGTGGTAAAAGAAAAAATGAAGAAGAAAAAAAAAGAAGGTACTAGAGTTAGTTTCTATTCACTCACATATATTTTTTTGGACTATAAAAACTTATCTTGCCTTTTGTACTCCTATTTTACATGGGTTTTTTTTTTTAAACATTTGTCTACACTGCTACCCACACAGGTGTATGATTCCACCTTTGAAATTAGTCAATGTAAAGTTTAAACAATAATAAAAAGAATATAAAACTATAAAGACTCACATTTTCTGACGAGCCAGGATTATCTTCATAGCGTGTCTCTATATAAATACTGAACCGCGGCAGAAATGAACACTGAAATTAGGACCAAAAAATCTTCATTATGAGAAAATCAGCAGTTAAAGGACAACATTTCTAGAAAACAGCAAGTGAAAGTGGTCTTGTGGCAGTGTGAAGTGTTAGACCTACACATACCCCAAGCCTTTGTTCAATCAGGTTAAGACGATCGATTCCTTTTCTTGTCATGGTTCCCCCCTAGAAAATTATGAAAAATAACCATATGACCAGACTGCCAAAATACTACGAGGGAGAAAAGTAACAAGTAGAATTTACACAATTAACATATCAATCCATCAGGTGCCATCTCTACATGAAACTTGGCTGGAATAGATCTCCAATATGCTCTATATTTTGCTTTAGATATACACTCTCTCAAACTGCTATTTCTCCTACTCTTTATGTTATATTCCCATCTGTATCGCTGTCTTTCTGTTGCTTGCTTGATTTCAACATTTCAATCAATATAGTTTTTAGGAGTGCTGTTTTTTTTAACATGGCCAAAACATTTCAAGTGTCTCATTTTTAATTTCTTCAGCTACTCTCATTTCATTCCTAGTCTGTTCAAAATTCTGTATTCCATTGTTTTAAGTTTCTATTAAATATGACACAATATATGTGGCATTTGATTGTTTTTGTTTACATGGAATATTACATAATTAACACACATGGCACTGAAAATAAACAAGAAGACATAACTGATTAGATGAAGAAAAGGAAACTAAAAAATTGTACATGTAGCGGATGCACAATCAAAAAGAAAGGACAATCAAAAAGAAAGGACGTTAACAAATACACAACATTACTTATACATCTTTTCTACAGTTAGCGAAAGGGAAAGAACAAAACATGCTGTAGGTTTTATCACTGAGCCAGAAATAGCAAAGAGAATAACAGATAACAAATTTAATATAATGGTAATTTTAAAAGGCCGAAGAATTGGCTGGAGAAAGAGAGACTTTCAGGCATGTCATGACCAGAGCAATGTTTTGTAAACCACCTAGTGATTAATGATTTTGATGAGTAATTTTAAATATACAGTTTAATAGAAGAGGTAGACTACAGTAAAAACTTAATTACAATGTGCCTTCTCTTAAAAGTATGGTACGTCGCAGGTCGACCCAGCCTAAAATGGGTACCAGGATGGGCTGTCCTGGGAAAGTAAAGACAGCCGGCGTAATGCTGACCACATTACCCACAGAGTGCTGATGGTCTGTAAAAATATGGGACGCTCTGCCCAAATGCCCGATGCGCCGAAAGGCGTGAAAAGGGAACTTTACTTTACTTTACTTCTCTTAAAAGAAAAAAGAAAAAAAACTAAATAATAGGCAAGAGAGGCAAAGCAACAAATAGAGATTTGGAAGTAAAACCACAGTGAAGTAAATAACAATACACGGTCTTCTTGACTTCAGACCAAGTTCTGCTACAATTAAAAGTTCATAAGTCGAACTGGTCATAGGCTGAATTCAAATTTTTAAACGGTTTAAAAGATTTGTACATAAAACCAAAAAAATTATATCTATGTTCGTATAAATATTGTACATAATGTGATAAATACACAATATGTACTCTAATGCACTTGTTTCTAGAACTTTTTGATTCTACTAATATAGTTATCTTTGTCTACTTACTAATTTTTTATTCTTGGCGGACGTAAGTGATTTAAAGAAACCTTTGTTTAATCACCTTTAGTGACATTCTTGTTAAAAAGCAGCGCCCCCCCCCCCCCCCCCTCCCAGGGAGCCCAGAAACCACACTGAAACATTTAGTGAGCAATAATTTGCACATTCAATAATAAAACTTGATTACAAATAGAACACATTGCCCCCCTGTGTGGGTTCCGGGGCCCCATTGTGGGGAAAACAAGAATAGACCCACTGCCTCCCCAAAAGCATGTCGTAAGAGTCGACTAATTGGGGAGCTTCCTCTGAAGTGGGAGTGCATCTGCCGGAGAGGAAAGGAACTAACAGTCTGTATTCAAGAGAATGAGATGCACACGCAACACAGGTTCTGGAGCAGGACTGCAGTTCAGTAATTGACGAGCAACCAGAACTTTCCGACAGAGTGTACAGCTGGTGAACAGGAAGAAGAAGAAGAAGAAAACATTACTCGACCTTTTGGGTAATATTTCTATCTAGTTAATGAATTAATGGACTAAGAACTGACATCTTTTATACTTTGGATATTCCCACATGTGCTTCATCGACTTCTTCATTAGCCAAAAAAAAAAGAGTTCCCATACATTAAAACTTTCCTACTGACTCAATACTGAGGCACCCTCTCCTCAGGGAATAAAGCACCACCTCCACAGTTACTGTACTTCAGAGCTCTCCTCCTCTGAAAACCCAGAAACCAGCAGGCTATGCAAGACCAGTAATTAACTTCCCATGTGGAGAGGAACATGGCAATCTCTGGAACATTTGCTGGACTGCTCACAATTTACAATGGTCTTTACAATCTACAACAGTATACACATGTTACAACAGTATGCCCAATCTAATTTCTTCTATCTTTTGCAATCACTTATTAAAGGTACTCAATTTTCTACTACTAGTGTTTCGTTAACTTCATACTTACTGTGTATTCTGTATCAACAGCATCAGCACATGAAACAAAGAAAGTACAGATTAGTATCCTATACAAATACAGAGCAGACACAGTATTACAGTATTATTTTTGTGTGTGTGTCGATTTTTTCCCATTATGTTGCACTCATAGAATCCAGAGTTCCAGAGATGATACTATTGAAAGAACCAAATGGCACTGAAAACAACATCAGCAACAGTCTGTTTTCAATTTATAATACAAGGATGATACAGCTGACTGCATTTAGTGTGCTCTAAAATAGTAGCTGATGCACACTCAGTAACAATATGGAATTATCAATTACTTACTAGCTGGTGTTAAAATATTCGTCACCACATTAAACAATGAGACATGTCTCCAAACCTAGGATTACGAAATCAACCGTCTCCCCAAGCAGTAGGAGGTGTGTCTAGATGTCTATGGTTCCTACTTCTTCTGACCTCAGGTGTATGCTTGCTACCTATGCATGTTTTGTTTAATGTTGCCACACTTTCTAACATATCTTTCATACGTTAGTAATAAATTTATTGAGACAGATTTAATTTAATCACACCTCTTATAAACTATTTCAATTTGTTACTGATAACAAACTGCCAATTACTGCTTGTATTTACCACCTTGCACCTTTGCAAATCAGCTAACATCAGCGGGTGGGGGGGGGGGGGGGGGGGGGGGGGGAAGACAACATCGGAGAATTATTAAATGAACTGCTTTTCGCTGATCACCAGGCAATCATAGCACCAACAGCAGTACAGCTACAAGAACATATTATAGACTCCACTCAGAATGCGACAACTACGATATGAAGATCAATGAAGACAAAACAGAAGTGATGACATTCTCCAAAAAAAGGAAGAACCACCAATATAAAAATTGATGAACAGCTATTAAAGCAGGCAAAGGATTTTACACATCTGGGAAGCATTTTTTCAGAAGACGGAAGAATGAAGAAAGAAATCCAACAATGATGCAATAAAGCAAATCAAGTTTTAGGCCAAATGGCACCAATTTTGAAATGCAAGCATGTGAATATGAACACTAAAAGAACAATGTTTAACACAATATTCTTACCAACGCTCCGCTATCAATGTCAAACATGGACACTGTCTTCAGAAGACAGAAGGAAAGTTTACATACTATGCTTGGTGTAACTAGGAAAGATCGACTTAGAAATGATGATATCAGCAGGAGAAGCCGCACAGAACCAATAATGAACTTTACAGGTAGACAACAAATCAAATGGTTTGGCCATGTATCAAGATTGGCAGCAGACAGGGCACCACAGAGAGCAATGTTATACAGATACAGTGGTAACAGACCCAGAGGTCGACCAAGCAGAATATGGACCGCAGAAATATCAGACACTGAAAAGTACTATATACAAAGCGAACAGAAGGGACTGTTCTATAGCTCTCTATAGAGCATTCCAGGAGTAGAGAAAAAAGAAGAAGAAGATTTACCACCTTTGCCGTTAGGTGGGGGATCTTAGAGCCTGAAGATTTAGGGCGGCAAGGCTGGTGCAGTTGCTATAGACTGAGCAGGCAAAGATATTATTTTTGCTGCCAACAGAAGAAGTCCACATCATAGTAAGAATTAAAACCTGGGTGTCTTGTATGATAACCCAGAATTCCTAATTAATCTTAATTCTATTAGTGGTGCATTTTATCATAAAATGCTGTAGCATGGTTAATGAAACTCCTGTGTGAACTCAAAAATGTTTCTGTTTCTTGACTTATACCACAGTAAAGATATGAGTACAGGAGGCTACAATTCATCACAAGGGGGCTGAGTGGTCTCGAGTTATGGCATCCACCTCAAGTGCTGGAGTCCTGGATTAGAACCCTGGTGAAGGCTAGGATTTTTTCACGTGAACTTCTAGTAATTTTTCCTGTGTCTGGGTAGTAAGATCAGATGCCAGTGTGTATTGTTGCACACGTAAAAACACTTTGGCAACTAGAAATTTTAAAAAAGTATCCCAATGGCGCTGCCCGGGCAAAAATTTGGAGTTAAAAACCTAACCAAAAGTATTTCAGGATCCTTGCCGGTGCAACAAAGTTTGTGCACTGCGCTGAGATTCTACGAAATTAGGTTTCAATTAGAAGTAGAACGGAGCACTTGTGGGTTACACCCCTGTGCCATAATGTTGATCCATTGAATAAATCAAAAACCCAAATATTGTAAGTGGGTTTGCAGTTCAACAGGAATAATTTGTGTGATGTGTCTGTGTATTGTATGTGTGAGAGAGACAAAGAAGAGGAAAGGTGGAAAAAAGTGTTTGCATATGTGTGTGTGTGTGTGTGGGGGGGGGGGGGGTGTGGACAGAAAAATACATTTAAGAATAACAAATTCTGCACTGATTTGCCACAAATAAACTATAGTTATTATTATTCTATTTTTCTGTTTTGATCCCTTCTTCAAAATCATGAATTTTTCTTTTTTGAGCAGGAAGCAAACAGGATTAAAAAACACAAAAGCAAAGTGAAATGATATGCACTGAATTTATACAAACCTGTAATTGTGTAGGGAAAATAGTTCCAGGCCTTCTCGGTGATGTAAAATACTTTGGGTATCAAAGAACTAATCCAACTTGGCAGACGACTTGAAAATAAGAGAAAACAGAAAAATTTAAAAATTCAAAAAATTATACATATTTTTAACATAGTTATTTTGCAAACAAATAAGCTAATGATGCTTAGGTATACAAAACAGTAATCTTTGTTTGGTTTTGTTGTTGCTCTATTTAAAGCAGACACTGGCAAGCATGGCTCTCCCTTTCTCTGCTACATGATATTCTGATACAGCTGATGTTACACACAAGTAAATAGTGAAATTAAGGACACCTCTCATGCCACTGGAACATCAAGGGAAAAAAATACAAGGTGCCACACTCATATTTGTATAGACCGACTGGCACTCCATGAGTGACGTTGTCAACATCCCACTAGCCACCTTTACTTCCAAAGAAGGTTCCTGGTCCCTATTTTAGGCTGTAAGATCAGGGCCCTCTGTCAATTATTAAAATCTTTTCTAATGTCGACTGGTGTTGCTTACAATATCATTTGTGATAACTTAAAGGTCAGACTGCAGACATTCAGGAATGAATAATAACGCTGAAAATGATGTGGAAGAGCAAAACCAGCATCGCAGTTAAGGTCAATATGTACAAATCACTGATAGTGTCTATTTTCTTACATGGATGTGAGAGGCGGACTCTCACTGTTGATGATTCGATTGCAAAGACTGTACTTCATAGAACATTGGGGGGTAGTCGAAGAAGAGGAGGGCAAAGAAGAATCTGGAATGACGTCAACAAATGGACAGGACTAAGTTATCATACACTTATTCATTAAGCGGAAGACGGAGAAAGATGGCAGGTTTTGTGTGCTAGTGCTTCCATCGATACACCTCCATGACCCTAATGGGTCAAGGGATATGTTATGTTATGTTAACAATGAAGAGAATGGGACCAACTCAAGAGAGGGCAACCACTGGTAACAACAGCTATAAGACACAGAAGATGGCGCGCTACTGGACACATCCTGAGAAGCAATGAGCACAGAATCACCAAACAGGCACTAAAATGGGAATTGAAGGGATTGAAGAAAAAGGGACTTCAAAAAGTAACCCTACTACGAACGTTAAAAAATTGCACAGAATATAATGGAAGGGAGGAACAGACTGAGTCCCAAGAGACACATAAAGGAACAACAGGACAGTGAGGATGAATGAATAAAAACCTACAATCTTTGAAGATATTTGACAAATCTGTTTTTAATGATAATAAAAAAGTAAAATACACTTTCCCCCCATGCTTTCAGGTGAAGTGGGCATATAGGCCTATACCTATATTTTAATCATTCTAAGCTCAGTGGCTTTAGAATCATCACCTTACAAAACACATTTGGGAAGGTCTTGGAGAGGATAGTTGCTGTAAAGCTGCAAGAATTTTTTGGAAAGAGGGAAGCTTTTCCCAAGAGGTCTGGGAAGCTACAGGCCAGAAAAGGACACTTGGGCAAATGCGGCCACTTTTGCTTTTGACGTTTATGAAGGGTTCCAGAACAGACAGGAAACTGTAATGAATGGGTTTGTATTTCTACTCGTTGTCTAGGCGGTGTTCATGCGTGTGTGGTGGATGATATTCTCACACGCTTCACGTTACACACCTGGCACAAGCCGACACCGATGTGAGCTTACGAGAAATTACTTTATTGACGTATTACAACTTACGACAAACAGAATCGTCCAGTCGATGTCTAATTGAACCGCTTTCGTACACAAACTCACGCAGCCTTTAACGAACAGTCTTCTGCCGGCATTCAAGCAACGATGGGTCCCATGGATTCAACACTGACGTTTGGACATCTCACACGCTGGCATGGTCGATCTCAGCTTAACACTTCGTCGGTAGGTCTCCTTTCTCCTCAGGCACTCACGTAGACATTCGCACATTCAGTCGCTCGTCCTCTCGCTCCAACAGGTCGACACAAACTAAACTTGACCAGAGTCAAGTCTGACTTATACCACGGGTTCCTTTCACGTGACAACACGTGGTGGTCCTTTACTTTTCCCGTGGCGACCTTGGGTCGCATCACCGTGGTCCCCGTGATAACTAGTGGTTAGTCACCTATCTCCAGATTCTCGTTTAATCCAAGTATCTGGACTATC